ATAAAAGTAAGTGAAGAGAGTATTGCAGAAGTCAGCCCCAAACGCGCAAAGCAAGGGGTCAGAGTGTAGGGTGAAGGGAGTACATCGCCAAAAACTGCCATCCAGGGCAGCGATAGCGTTGGAATGAAGAATGTATTTTAGATTAAAAATCATTAATGTCAGGTTAACAGGGCAACAGATGAATTCTTAAAATCAACTTTTTAAAACGTCCCCAAAACTGCGTACTGGCCAAAGTTGAGAGACAGCTTGAACCTGGTCTAAAAAGTGAGCGGGTTGGGGCTGCCGAGGGTTCAGCGAGACCACATGGGGTTATTGGCACGAATTTCTTTCTAAACGTACATGATTCACAATGAGCTTGTTGTCGACGTTGATAGCGACTTCGACTTGAATGGCATATCTTGTCGCTAGCTGTCGTCGATCCACCATCGAGTTCAAAGCCACTCCCTGAAGTGACTTCTTATTTTACGCCTTGTTTTACAAGTTTGCTCTTGACAACAAGTTCAGTTCAAACCATATAGAATCATTCAACATTCATTTTTGATTTAAAAAAATAGATCTTATAATACTGAGTTGGCCCTTAGTTATGGCATACGTTCTCACTCAAAATTTCGCGCTAAACATGAGAATTTCACCATGAACTTCCACAATGATTGTTCACATGAAGTTCAATGATTGCAGGAATTCCCTGCCCTGTTCGGATTGCTCCTTGGTGTCTTTCCCCGGGACAGGATGCCACTCGAAAAATCCCTCAGCATGAGGGCCGAGGCGTAGCGCCTACTTCGATAAACGATGACGCGTTGTTTGTGTTCTGGAGAGCTCTTTCTTATTATGACGTAATTGTGCGTCGTGCTCTGTCCAATGCGAGAACAGACGAATGAAATTGACTTCGAACTGGATTACACACGAGTAACCCATTCTGTGCCATGTTAATGCCCACGCCCTACTCTGTCTCATGCGATAAGGAGTTCACTGAGGCTACCACAAAGTGCAAAGATATAAACCGAAGTGGTTTTTCTTTACCATTTCCGGAAAACGTAGCACAAAGAACATGATTGTCGTATTTGAATGAGGTAGTTTTAGCGTCTCTTTCACCCATTCGCTCCACCAGCACACGTGTGACGCTACTCGAAGCAGCCTAAACATAACGATTGTCACAAATTATGAGGCCACTTTGTATCAAATCTAGGTTCTTCACACCTGGCTAGCTACGAGTTTTCCATCACTGACGGTTGCCCCGTTTTGATCCAAGGTTTTAGTTGCTGGTGTTCCTTCTCGTTGAGTGAGGATCATGCGCCCTGCCGCTTGCCTATCAAATTGCACTTATGATCAAACAAATAAAATTGACTTCAACATATGTAGGTCAGGTGATTGTTATTATTATTGTTATTATTAGGTGTTCGGATAAAACTAGGTAGACTGCAGCATGGTTTTCAGAATCCCAGAGTAGAATGGTAACTTACCTCGGACCACTGCCATCATGAGGTAGTTTTACAAGAGATGCACGAAAGAATGCCTCCACTGTTTTTGGTTGCGGAATAATGGCGTTTTCAACATCATGCGTGATGGCGCAAACCCTTCAATAAAAAAAATCAGATGATTCTCAAGTAAATTATGAGTTTACAGGGGAAATCAGAGAAAAGCTCACGCTCGAGCTCACGTGCATCTCGATGATCTGCATGAAATCAAAAGCATGAACGGTCATAAAATAAACTGCAATCAACGAGGAACTGTTACGCATTTTCCAAGAAACCTCGAAGGTCGGAAACTTGACCAAGCTCTGCAGGGCTGGTCCCTCCAACTTTTAGCGCTCAAATATTATTACGGCTCCTCTGTACGTAGACTCATAACACTTCACATTACGTAAAGCCGGTCAGCGTTAAGGCAGTCACATCAATTACTTTCCCCCACTTTCATCGCCCACTCACACTGCGAGATCGTTCTCACCTTGATCCCCAGAAAATAATGAGAAACGGGTTTTTTTTTACTGTTTTTTCATCTTGTTCAGCAAATGTTTCAGCGAAATTTGGAAGAGCCGCGTGGAGACCTGCACTACGAAATGCTTGCAGAAACTATAAGCTCCGTTCATCATTGAAATAAAAGGAGTATCAGATTAGGAGAACTAACCCAAGCAGCGTCAGTATACGAATTTTTCAGTATAAGTTCTTGTATAGGTTCTTTACAAATGTTTACAGGA